GTGTCTTCCTTCTCCAAACCCTGGACGGGGGAGCAAAGACTTGGAAATTGGAAAACTACTCAAAAGCTGCCTATGACAGACATGGTGAGACTGAAGAAATGGGTACCCTAACTGGGAAAAATTATTAATGACCAGAATCTTCTGCCCTTCCTTTATATAGCTCAAGATTTAGTGGAAAGAGTCCTTTAATGTCACCAAGGTGGGTTCCATTAGAGTTGGCAGAAACAACAAATGTGCACCATGTTGGTAGAGATGCTCTTGTAGGAAGTCAACACTAAATGCCATTTTGCTTAGGCCTAGGACCCCCGAATAGAATAGGCCCCCCATAGTTTCCTAGGAATGCAGTAAACAAATCTATGATGCTTGTTGAATAATCTTCCAATAATTGCAGTCATTAAAATCATCACACAGTCTACAGTCACCTTCCTTCCTTTGACACACCAGTCTTTCCTTTAATTGTTAATGCCTTTTTGGCTCAGATAAACAGATCAAGGAAAGCTTAAAATATACTGCCCAGGTACATCTAGCAGCAGAAAATTAGTTGTGTAGCAAACATTTGGACTTAATAGACTAGGGATTTTCAATCTCTCTAGCAGATCTTACAGAGACAGTGAAGATTTGCATCTGCTACCACCTCTAAATCTTAGTGATGTCTCTGAGATAGAAAAAAAAAGAAGTCTAATTGGCCTATTGATTCTCCTTTCCTCTTTTTTTTTTTTTTTGGCAATAGTTTGGCTAAGATGGGCTGGAACATTATAGAACAAATACTAAATGAAAGCTCAGCAGAAAATTATGGGAGAGTTCCTCTATTTTCAATTAATTTTCTTGATCCATTTGATCTCAGTCTCTAGTGCCTTTAAAGATGTAAATATATGTTAACTATAAAAGATTCCCTTCTAATCAAAGGCTACATTTCATTTTCACTCACTCTGACAAACTCCAACTGTGGAAAAGATTCATGGGCTCAACAGGCGTTAAGGTTTATACTGGCCTTCCTTCTCCTTGCTCATAGCAGATGACAGTGGCACACAAGCAGCTTTTGTTATTATTTTTTAGAACTCAAGTTATTAATATATCTTCCCAACTCCCATGCGGTGCTGACCTGATGATCACTGCTCTCGTGTAGATCATGCAAATGAAAAGCATGATTAATTGCACAAATGCTTTAAAAAAAAAAAGGAGCTCTGTGGCTCAGCAAATAAATAAACAAATGATAAAGAAATAAGGCAGGTGGGAAGACAGGTCAGATAAAACCTCCTCTCCCTCTTACCCCACCCCCATATCCCCAATCCTGGTTCTGATGGGCCAAGCTTCTGCAGCCAGATCAACCAATTTGAGAACCTTTGCTTCCTCCTCTCCCACCCAACTCCACACCATTCCACCCCAGTGCTGTGTTATCCTCTACGAAACTCTGCCGGATCAAAGCTGCCAGGAGACTGGGCAGCCACTTAATATTTACCCAGCTACTAGATCGAGGAGTTCAGACAATAACTGGTCTTCCGGGTCGCCACCCTGCTTGGTGCATCTGGGAGAGGCGTTTTATCTGTGGCGTTGGAGCTCCAATCCTTCCACCGCGCTAATGACGGAATTGTTTCTCAGCTTTGCCTCCTAAACACTGCAACTTGAGCAGTTGCTCAGATCAAAGCTTTCGGGAGAAGCAAGATGGGAGAAACAATATTTGTTCAAAGGAAGTGAACTCTTCCCTTTAATTACCCTATTCTTCTTTATTAGGATTCATATTGAATTTTTTGCGAAAAATTATGTTGATTTAACCATAGTGTATTTACGATGTAAATATATTCCAAGATGAAAACGTGACGGATCAATTGTAAAGGACCCGGATACATAATTTTAAAAAATCAGTTTCAGTGTATATGAGGTTCTCACCCCACTTTCTCTGCTCAGTCAGATTTGTTTATGCAGAATCGACATTTAATAGTGCTAATTGCACTCCAGTTAAATTGCCCTGATTGCAGAAAGGGAAGCAATTTTCGTGCTCTCTGTCTGGGTTTGGAAGAAATTGTTTTATATTCACCTCTTTATAAAGAAGTGGAGATAAGGCACCGGGGCCTTTGCACAAATTGCACTTAGGGGCTGACTGGCAGCATTCAGGCGCTATAATAGAGCATTATTTGGCCGTTTTGAATAATGTAAAGCGTTTGCTGAAAGCTATTCTCCTGAAAATTGCTTTAACTTTTAAAAGGGTGATGATTCACTCCAAACCAGGCCTTTGTTACATTGTCATTATTTCCCCAAATGTTTTAACAGTCAGCTCAACACTTTAGCATAACACATTGATCTTTGTTTAAAAACTAGATTTTTTAGAGGATGAAAAAAAATCTGTCAAACGAAAAAAAAAAACTGGACTTCCTCCGAAAGATTTCCTTGGGGCCCACCTTAGAGTTGAACCGGCCCGGGTGTTTGCCTGTGTTCATTTGGAAGATTTTCCTAACTTTTGTTGTGATGCTGACGCGTGTGTCTAAAGGAATATGCGAATGCCCACGTCGAGAGTCTGACAGCTTGAACTAGGTGGAAAACGAGGGAGGGGAGACAGGGAGAGAGACCAGCCGGGGTGGCTTGAAAATGTCACCAGTGCTAAGTGGCTTTTTTGGATTGTCTTATTTATGACTTTGTCAGGTTTCCTTTAGGAGAGGGTGTGTTGGGGGTGGGGGAGGAGGAGGACGGGAGGACCTCAGCACTTCCCCTCCCGGGGCTGCTCGGGGTGAGTCGGAAACGCCTGGCTGCCACTTAACAATCCCCCTATTAGTAAATCGACGCGGAGACTCTACAGGAAGCCGAGGACTAGTCTCCCGTTCCAGGGCAGAAGTCACCTGTTGGGAATGGTTCCTGGGTCCCCCTGCCGGGCTTTCTGGCTCTTCCAAGCTTCCTGATTTCCCTTCAACCTTCCACCTTACATCTTAGTGGTTTTACACACACACACACACACACACACACGCCAACCGACATCCATCCTACTCTCAGCTTCTTTACAGCTGTAAGGGTTTTCTGTTTATCTCTTATACTTTCCTCCGGGATTTACCTTGAAGCGTTTTAAAAAGATATTCTGACCCTAAGTATTACATCGAAAAGCAAAGGAGGCGACCCCGTAAGCCTCCCCATCCACCAGGTGCCCCGGGATGCACGCAGGCTCCATCTTAGCTCCGAAGGAACTGCTCTGGTGGTGGTACTTTGAGGCTAAGAGATCATGCAGAAGAGAAGCGAAAACACATCCCACATCCTCCACGTTCTCCTCACTTGCTCCCCCTTCGCGACTTATCTCTAGCACCCGAACGTTTGGAGTTGGTGGTTATTTTTTTGAAGCTCAAGATGTGGGTCTGCAGGGGGGGGGTGCTACATTAAAACCAGTACCCAGATCTGCCCATGGACACTGTTGTTTCTAGTTCAAAAGCCTCTGGCTACCCTGGAGAAGAAAGAGAAAGTGGAAAGCCCAGCAAGATGGGGAAACAGCTTAGCTTTTGCACGCGCCACACGTGTGTGTGTGTGTGTGTGTGTGTGTGTGTGTGTGCAGCTCTTTTGGCACCAAGGTCCGGAGAGGACTTCAGGATGCTCCCAGCATGCAGGCGCCCACGTGTGGCCTGGTCCTCGCCCAGCGGGGTGACTGCCAAAGAAGGGCTCGTCCACACATCTGAGAAAAGGCAGGGTGCAGAGGATGAACCGATCTCAACCCCATGCCCTTGTCCTGAAGACGAGCCTGTAGGCCCTGGCGGTCCCGGGTAGGGGTGGGTTGGAGCTGGGGCATGGAGAATTACTCCAACCCTCCTCTAAAACTCGACTCCAGGCTGCAACACGACATGCAAATCATCGCCGGGTTAAACAAACAGCCGAGCGATCTGCAGCTTCAGCGGGGGTGGCGGTGGGGGCGGACTTCGCTCGCGCCGGTCTCTGTTTCCAAAGTTGTTACAATGTGAAAATAAGCGGCTTCGTGCAGCTTGTTGTATGGGCTGATGCCTCCCACCCCCACGCCAGCCCCCAGTAAAACCTGGCAGATAATCAGCACGTCCCACTGTTTAGTCATATTTGACAACTGGGTTAACCTGGTATCTAGGCGCTGGCGAATCCGTACAAAGGGTGCCCTCAATTACCACCAGAAGCTTCTGGCGTGAGTGGCACTTGTATTACCCCCCGGGTCAGAGGCCAGAGCGACAATTAGGAAGTCACTTGGACCGCTGGAAGGAAATGGCGGGATGCAGCAGGCCCTCCCAACAAGTCTGTGGGTGTAGACCTGGAGAGAGAGGCCTATTTGTCTCCTCTCCAAGGAGCTGTCCTTTCCTGCCCTCTCTTCTATGTGACTCCGAGAGTAAAACTGACTCCAGTGGGAATAAGAAACTTGGTAGCACAACATCGGCAATGGTAAGATCGAGAGCGGGAATTGGTGGCTGCAAGCTGAAGTTGGGCTCCGCAGGCAAGCGCCTGGACACACAAAGTGAGCGTTGACATTTCCTTCTCCACTGGAGCCCTCCGCCTCCGCGCCCCCTCCCCTCCGGCCTCCTTTCCCACAAGTGGTGAGTTGAGTAGGACTGTGAGCCCTAACTTGTAACATCTTGGGATGGCTCCGGGGGGCTTGTAGCTCTGTCGCAACGGTACTTAAACCTGGCTTGGTGCGTGAATGTGTGTAAATTTTTAATTGCACTGTAATTTCTTCTGTCCCCAACCCGCCCTCCCCACCCTCCCCCCCGCCCTCGCCCACAGACTTGACTGGCACGCGCCGGGAGCCCGGGCTCGGGCCCCTCGGCGCGTCTGATTGGCTGCAGGGCAGCTCCCGTCTGCTCTGCCTGCGCCCTCATTGGGCGAGAGGCGCAGCCAGCGGCACTTCAAAGCGGGTGCTCCTCGCACTTAGGTTGAGTTTAGCCGGCGGGAGCCCGGAGTCCGCTTGGCGCGAGCGCGGGATACGGGAGCCGCGCGGGACCCGAGCAGTCTTTCCCACTAGCCGCCAGGCTTAACACGGCTCCCGGCCCCGCCGCACAGTCCAGAGACCTGCTATGGCCACGTCTATCCTGGGGGTAAGTCGCAGGCGAGGCGCGTTTGTTTTTTTTTTTTTAAACAACTATTTTTTTCGTGATGGCTTCTCTGGGTCCGTGGCTCCCAAGGAACTGTTGCTGGACTGCAGATCCAGCTTCCTTTAAGCACTTTCCACATATCCGGGGCGGATTCCTTCCAAGTTAATTGGAACTCGGGACATGCTTTTGCATCTTTTGCATTTTTTATTTGGTTTTGGAGAAAAAAAAAAGGTTGGAGGTTTCCTTTCCTCGTGATTTACACCCCATCCTCCCGCCCCACCCGCCAAGCTTTGCTTTGGGGATTGTTGCAATTACAAGGCAGTGGTATTTCCAGAAAAGTCTTGATCGTTTTGCAGTCCACGTAGTCAGGGTAATAAACATTTGCATTTTCTCGGTTCCCCTGTTCGTCCGTGACTTTGAAAACCGTTGCTGGATCGCTTATCCCCGGATTGTTTCTGTAATCGATGTGTGCTTGTGTGCAAATATCAAAACCAGAGTTTTCTATTTCACAACAGTCAAGACGTAACCCGCCCTTGAGAGGGTGTTCCAAGTTTCGAGGGTCCCCCAGGCCGCTGCTCGGGCTCCCTCCGCCCTCACCCGGTGTTTGTTGTCTGTTTACCTTCTTGCTTCACCCGGAAGGGCGACTTGGGGGCTTCTGGGAGAGAATCGGGTTTCTGGCGACAACCCCGGTCCGCTTGTAAGCTGGGGTTGCAGCGACTTCGGCGGAGAAAGCCCAGGCAGTCAGTCATCTTTGATTTGTAACCTCCCCGAAGAACAACTTTGCCGAGCCGGGACCTTCGCACCGGCGGTCGCCGCTGCCCCAGGCGGGGTGCAGCGCTTGGGGAGGAGGCGCGAGCCGGGGGTGCCACGGGTCCCCGGGCCCAGGCGCAGGGGGACGAGGCTGCTCACGGGTGCACTTTGTCTCCCCCCCCCACTTCCTCCTGTCCTCCTCCTCCTCCTCCTCCTCCTTGCTCCCTCCCTCTCCCTTCCCCCTCACCCCCCAACTTTAGGAAGAGCCGCGCTTCGGAACGACCCCGTTGGCCATGCTGGCGGCGACGTGCAACAAGATCGGCAACACGAGCCCGCTGACCACGCTGCCTGAGTCGAGCGCCTTCGCCAAGGGCGGCTTCCACCCCTGGAAGCGCTCCTCTTCCAGCTGCAATCTTGGCTCCAGCCTCTCGGGGTTCGCGGTGGCCACGGGCGGCCGCGGCTCGGCGGGCCTGGCGCCGCCAACAGCGCTTTCTGCCTGGCGTCCACGTCGCCCACGTCGTCCGCCTTCAGCAGCGACTACGGCGGCCTCTTCTCCAACTCGGCGGCGGCGGCGGCGGCGGCGGCGGGGGTGTCCCCGCAGGAGGCGGGCGGCCAGTCGGCCTTCATCTCCAAGGTGCACTCGACGGCGGCCGACGGCCTGTACCCGCGCGTGGGCATGGCGCACCCGTACGAATCGTGGTACAAGTCAGGCTTCCACTCGACGCTGGCGGCGGGCGAGGTGACCAACGGCGCCGCGTCGTCGTGGTGGGACGTGCACAGCAGCCCCGGCTCGTGGCTGGAGGTGCAGAACCCCGCCGGGGGGCTGCAGAGCTCGCTGCACTCGGGCGCCCCCCAGGCCTCGCTGCACTCGCAGCTGGGCACCTACAACCCCGACTTCAGCTCGCTCACGCACTCGGCCTTCAGCTCCACCGGCCTCGGCTCGTCGGCCGCCGCCGCCTCGCACCTGCTCTCCACCAGCCAGCACCTGCTGGCCCAGGACGGCTTCAAGCCGGTGCTGCCCTCCTACTCGGACTC